CAAGGCTGGTGCTGGGGCGGGATCCCGAGGGCAGCGGAGAGGGGGACATGGCCCATGTGCCCATCAGCAGCTGGACTTCTGGCCCGAGGAGAGGCCACAGCAGGCCGGGCGGGGGCAGGCAGGGCGACAGAGGAGGGACACGCAGGAGGCTGGGCGGCAGCAGCTGGGCTGGCAGGAGGAGGAGGGGGCACAGCAGGCAGGTCTGCACACGGGGCGGCAGAGGAGGGACACGCAGGAGGCCGGGCGGCAGCAGCTGGGCTTGCAGGAGGAGGAGGGGGCACAGCAGGCAGGTCTGCACACGGGGCGGCAGAGGAGGGACACGCAGGAGGAAGGTCTGCAGCAGGACGGCTGGCAGGGGGAGGAGGTGCAGCAAGCAGGCTGGCAGCTAGACTGCTGGCAGCATGAAGAGGAAGACCCAGAGCAGACAGGCTCACAGCACACAGCCTTGTAGCACACAGGCACACAACAGACCTGCTGGCAGGCGGAGGGGGTGCAGCAAGCCGGCTGGCAGCTAGACTGCTGGCAGCATGAAGAGGAGGCCTCAGAGCACACGGGCACACAGCACACGGGCTTGCAGCACACGGGCTTGCAGCACACGGGCACACAGCAGGCCTGCTGGCAGGGGGAGGGGGTGCAGCAAGCCGGCTGGCAGCTAGATTGCTGGCAGCACCAGGGCGTGCAGGTGCTGGTGCAGACTGACTGGCAGGGGCTGGACACACAGCTCACTGGGCTGCAGACCAGGGTCAGGCACGGGGCCGGGGCGCAGCAGCTGGGGGCGCAGCAGGGGGGCTCGCAGCAGCTCTCTGGGCAGTCGTCCCCCTGCCAGGAGTCGGGGCAGGAATCGCAGGAACCGGACAGACAGACCCGGCTGCCGTAGCTCAGGTCGCTGGAGCAGACGGACACGGCGGACGCGGCCATGCTGGGGTTGAGCCGGGCAGGTGTGAGTGGGTGAGTGGGTGAGGAGTGTGTGGGGTGCTCGGCACTGTCGGCCTTTATACCCCTCCCGCCCTGTTGTCCCAGCCCCCAGCCGCCCCTTCCTCGTTGGTGAGCGCCGGGCCAGGCCGTCATTAGGATGTTTGTTTGCCTGTGAGGTTGTCCAGCTCGTAAACATCCTGCTGTAGCCCATCCCATTGTTCCCCTGGGGGCAGGAGTGGGCTGGGGGTGCTCCCAGCCGGGTTGTGGGGCAGCGAGGGACACAGGGTCGGGGGGGTGGGACGTGCCTTGGGCCGTCCCTGGCGAGCTGGGGCCCTGTCCTGTCACTGGCCTGGCAGCCCCGGGACACTGGCTCTCCCTGCGGGAGCCGGCCCGTAGGAAGAGCGTCCCGTGGTGCAGACACCCCCTCCAGTGAGGCCCCTTCCCGGGATGCCGGACTGTCACTACCCGGTGACACACAACCCGGATTGGGGGGTGCTCAGTGACCTGCCCAGGGCCATGCGGCTCTGAGGGGCGCCGGGCCTGGACCCAGAGCCCTTGGCCCGAGCTCTGGAGGGTTTCTCCCCCGACGGGCTCTGCGCCTCCTGCGCTGTGCCTGCCGCGCGCCTTGTCCTTGGCTGGGAGGCGGCGGGACTGTGCATGAGGACGAGGACCGAGGGCTCGGCCCCTCCCCGCTCGGCAGGACGGCAGCCCCCTCAGCCATGTCCCCGGGTTCTGAACCCATGGAGCATCCATGCTGGGCCGAGGGCCACCACTGGCCTTTGTCCCTCCAGGGCCCCTCCCATGTGCCCTGTCCCTGTCCCTGTCCTGAGCCTGCGCCTGCCCCCGACCAGCCCTTCCCAGGGCCCCGCTGCAGCCCCCAGCTCCGCTCAGGCCTCTCGAATCGTTGCAATCTCTGATCGCCCGCGCGGTCGCCACATGTAGAGACGAAGTTCAGGAGCTCCTGGCCCTGTGAGCTGCCCCGGTCACCAGGGACACCCTCCCCCATCACCAACTGTAACGCTGATTGCGGTTTCGCATTTTCACATAAAATCACAGTATACATGTGCATATTTCACTATAAAACAAGGCCTGCGTTACAGGATGTGAAGTGCAACATTCTGTGTTGTCCTGAAGCCAGCAACGCTGGAAACTAGCTCTCGTTCCAGTGCTGTGTCTGGTCAGACCTTCCCCCTCGGGGTGCCCTAATACGACACACGCTGACCACCTAGGGCCCGCTGTCCCGCCACCGTGCTGCCCAGGGGCTGGGAAGGGGCTGTGGAGGTGGCTGTCCCTTCCGCCCCACGCAGCAAGTGGCGTCCAGGGAGAGCCCGCCCCCTCCGCCCACGGGCCGCCCGCTCCCCACGGCGGGTCCCCCGGAGCTGGTCAGAGAGGCTGCAGCAGTGGGAGCCCACAGTGCTGGCCCTGCCACGCCTCCCCCTGTCCCACCACGGCAGCGCTCAGAGCCCAGGGAGGGAGAAGAAGGGCCAGGAGACAGGTCCCGCCCCGGCCGTGGCGTCCCTGAGCCCACTAGGCCTGCATGTGGCGGGGCTGGGCATGGGACTGGGCTCAGATCCGGAGGAGAGTTTCGAGCCGTCTGCGTGGGGCTGTGGTTTCGCTCTACTCTCTGAGACCAGAGCTTTCCGCTGTGCGTCAGTGACAGACACTCAGTCCCGCCACCGACGTGTCCGCAGCGAGTCCCAGCTGCTGCTGCTCGTTGTCTGGTGTTCTCTGCTCTGCAAAGCCAGGGACAGCGTGTGCCCGGCCTGCCCGTCAGTCTCCAGAGACCTAACCGTGCCCGGCGCGGGGAAGATCGTTAATAAATATTGGCCGAAAAACATGAACATTTTCAGAGGAATCACTGAATAACAATTTCAAGTTCTGAAAATGGTTCCAATGCACCACCTTTCTCTTACACTGCGTAAAGCGCTCTATCGTGTTCTGTTCCGCGTGTGGGGAGTTGACTTGTGTCAGACCCGCCGTCCAGCTGGGAAAATAGGAAAGCTGGTTTCAGGAGGTACCGAGACCGCCGAGACCTGAGTGACGGGATCCCCATCGGAGGGAGAGTGCACAGACGTTAGTCTGCTAGTTACTGGGGGTTGCTCAAGGCAGTTGCCCATTCACGGCTCACAGCCGAGAGGCCGAGAGGCTGAGCAGAGGTTTCAGTCGTCTCGTGGAATTGGAAGACACAAACCCACAGTGCAGCCCTGACCAGGCAGAGGATTCTGGGAAGGAGCCCGGGCTTTCAGTTGGAAACACTGAGTGTGAGTGAAGGGCTGCTCCCTAGGACGGAGGGCAAACCGGAGCCAAAGCTGGGCCCCACCTGGCATCAGCTCCAGTGGAACTCGGACAGTCTGCCCAGGACCTACTGCCTGCCAGGATCAGAAGTGGGTCTCTGGAGCCAGGTCCCGTCAACAGAGACTGGAGTAATCTTACAATTTTCATGTGCAAAGCCAGACATTCAGTCAAAACTACTGGGCACACTGGAAGACAAGACCAATTGACAAAGGACCGAGAGAAAAAGCAAACACTAGAAACAGCCCTGCAGGAGATCTAGACATCAGAACTGGCAAACATGGATTTAAAGTAACTGTGATTAATTTGTTCAAGAAAATAGAGGACACGGCGTGGAATTTCAGTGGCAAACTGGATTTATGAACCAGAATCCAAGAGAAGGTCTAGACGGGCAGAGCACAGGAACTGAAGGTAACTTAGTAGATTAGCTTAACAGGGTATTAGACAAGACCAAAGAGCAGACTAGTGAAGGAACAGAGATGGGGCGATATTGAGACTGAGCACAGTGAGGGGGAGAAAGGGTTAAAGTACATTTAGTGGAGCAGTAAACATAAGGGACGTGGTGAAAAAGCTGGTTTGAATCCTAGATGGAGCAAATGAAATAGGGTTAGTAAAATATTTGAAGATACAATGGACAAGAAATTTAAATTGACGGAAAACTCATAGATGCGAAGGCATTTAAGAATCTTCAGCACGATAAATACAAGGAAAACCACATCTGGGCACACTGGGGCCCCTGTGTGCCCACAGAGCCTGCTGAGGCCCCCGACAGTCCCTGAGACTGAGAAGCCTGGGGGACATCCTGCCCCAGGTCACAGGGTGCAGGGAGGGTGTGGAGGAGGAGAGGAGGGACAGTGTGGCCCTGGCGTCCTCCCTGTCTCCCTTGCAAGGAGCTAAGACACCCCCACGAGGCCTGCCTCCTGCCCTCTGGTCTGGACACGTTCTCACGCTGTCCTGGGCATCCTCCACCGTCACCACTGTGACCTTCCCTTCCCCACCTGCCCCCACCACCCCGCCCAGCAGGCGGGAGCACTGGAGGCCACGTCTCGGTTCTCTCTCTGCATCCCAGCAGTGCCCGTGCTGGAGCAGAGGCGTCCCCGAGCGTCCCTGAGTGCAGGAGCCCAGGACACCCAAACCATCCCGAGTGGAACTCCTGGGCACTGGGCCAGCTGATGCCGCGTCTCCCTCGGTCCCCCACCTCCCGGCACAGCTGCGGGCCCTGCCGCCCCGGGACAGCCTACCCGTGCCTGGAAGGAGCTGCTTCTACCCACAGTAGGGGGCTCTGGACTGAGCCCAGGTAGGGCCCAAGGGACTTGGCCAGTGAGCACAGCTGGACCCCGCAGGACCTGGGGGTGGCCGGATGGCAGACTTTTAGTTCTAGTCTATGGGCCTATACGGCTATCCTAATGTCAGTACCACACTGTTTTGATTACTGTAGCTTTGTAGTAAGTTTTGAAATTGGGAAGTGTGAATCCTCCAACTTTGTTCTTCTTTATCAAGGTTGTTTTGGCCATTCTGGGACCCTACAATCCATGTGAATTTGAGGATCAGCTTTTTCATTTTTGGAAAATAGACTGTTGGAATTTGATAAGGATGGCATTGAATCTGGAGATTGCTTTGGGCAGTACCGACATCTTAACGATAGTGAATGTCCTAATCCGTAGCATGGGAGTTTTTCCATTATTAATATCCATGTCTTTAACTCTTTCAGAGATGTTTTATAGTTATCAGTGTACGAGTCTTTCACCCCCTGGTTATACTTATTCCCAGATATTTCATTCTTTTGGATGCCTTTGTAAATGAAGTTGTTTTTTCTGTTTCCTTTTCAGATGGTTTGTAGCTGGTGTATAGAAACAGATGATTTTTTTGTGTTCATTTTGACCCTAAAACTTTGCTGAATTCTCTATTAAAAGCTCTAGTAGCTTTCTGATGGATTCTTGGGGATTTTCTATATACAGGATCATGTCACCTGTGAATAGAGATGATTTTATTTCTTCCTTACAATTTGATGGCTTTTGTTTCTTTTTCTTGTCTAATAGCTCTGGCTAGAACTTCCAGTACAATGTTGAATAGCAGCAGTGAGAACAAATGTCCTGTCTTGTTCTTGACCTTAAGGGGAAGCTTTCCGTCTTTTGCCATGGAGTGCAATGCTAGCTGTGGTCTTTTCATATATACCTTTTATCATGTTGAGGAAATTCCCTTCTACTCCTAGTTTTCTGAGTGTTTTTATCATGAAATGGTGTTAGATTTTGTCAAAGCCTTTCTGTATTAATTGAGATCATTTGGTTTTTTCCCTTCATCCTGTTAATATCGTATTTTATTAATACATTGATAATTTTTTAACTCAGTTTTCAGCTGACGATTGATTATTTTTACTGTTGAACTATCTTTGCATTCCTGGGATAAATTCCACTTAATTGTTGT